GTGTACCTTGAATGTAGAGGGGTGTAGATTGAGTATAAACGTGGGTAGCTTGAGTGCACATGTTAATAGCTTAGGTTCAAAAGAAATAGTTCGGAGAATATTTTGATCTTGTCGTTACATTTTAATATAGCGACAAAATGAATTTAAAAGGTAACTAATCTTCATTTATCCAAATACTTTATCTAATCACAAATAGACAGCTGTTTTTATGTTTTATTTTGAGATTTTAGATTGATGGCTATGTATCAGAACTGATTATTTTGCAACGATCGATGTCAGAAGTTACTTTAATTTTGACAAAGAAAAACACTCTTATAAGCTATGCATCTCCACTACCAATAGTTCCGCATTTGATCCGTCACACTGGGAACCAGGAATAGAAGATACTCATGCATAGTGTGTGTGTGCGTGTGTCTGTGTGTTGTTTTACAGGTCATTTTCTTAAAACTAGACGGAAACACATGCAATCATATTTGCTCTAGTGCATCTGTCAGTATATGAAATACATTGTTTGTGTATGACTCTACCAAATTAAATGTTTCGAATTAAACTAGTTTTAGTCGTTCGGGTTCGTCCAGACATTTTGTGTTAGAATGGTGTTTTAGATTGATTCCCTGTCGTAGGAATCCTTTAAGTTGACAACAATACACAGTTTGTATTTCTGGTGACCAGTAACGCCCCAAATCAAATTTCGTTGACACACAAACGCATGCTAGAAACCGTTTAAGGCTTTTATTGAAATAAGCAGTTGAATACAAGCTGGAACAAAAGCTAATGTAATGGAAATGTAAACAGGAAATCATTCTCATAATGAAACAGATCGGTACATGCAGCATTACAAGTGTTTCCGAGTCGTCTAAAGCGGAAACAGAATATCTAACTTGAGATCAAAGTAATTCTCCCACTATTTAAGGCTTTGTGGCATTCGTATGTGGAAACTATCACGGAATATGTAATTTAAAATCTTGTCAAATAAATGTTATTATATGTAACAGTTATATGTACAAATATCTGTTAAAATTCGTAAAAAGATATTTTACACTAACTTAAGTCGTCGGCGTGTTTCTGACGAATAATGAGTAAGTGAATGTTTCACTACATTGTTTGAATATTTTCCGAATTGAACTTATACTTCTTTCAGAAACTCAGATTATCGAGAGCTTGCCCCGAGTACCATACTGAACAGTTTGTCATTTGAGAGTCAGTGATACACACATAATGCTCCGGATCATGAATGCGGAATACCACGTTCCATGTAATTGAGAACAATTTGTATAATAGCAAGGAATATGTTAAGGCTATATAAACCTGTCGGGAACTGACAGTAAAATCATCTCAAGAAATATATACAGTGTGTTTGTTGCCAGTATTAGACTTTGAAAAGTCTGTTGACAATTGACAGTAAAAACACATCTCAAAATATAGACAATATGTACAGTTTACTTACTACAGCTTTCGGGGGTTTAGTAGCACATTTTTGTTATGTTAAAACACATACATGAATAGTTGTTATTAATGATGAATTATTTAATATTCGACGAAATGAAGAATCTGCAATATAATGAAAATAACACAAAGCGCTCAGTCTACAAGAAAAGACGGAGAGATAAATGTATACACTCTCCTCCCCTGATCTCTCTAAGTGCTTGTAACAAACAGTACACTGCTAAAAGCTGGTGATACCACATCAATACAATCGGTATTTGGCACACAATCTGTGTACATTGTATACAGTTTAACATAAATCAACACAAACATATATAATATACTGACAGCATAACAGGTTAATATCAAACGGATTAACATCCCTTGGCCTTATCGCAAAGCACTCATTACAGAAAGACTGATTGATACAGGTGTGTGTACCGATCTCATACATATTCACACGAAGTACTTGTAACACATGGCAGAGTACGCGTCACTCTTCAACTCCATAAACATGACGTAGGTTCATCAAAGTATTTGTGCAATGGATTTATCACGCAGTTTTATACAATTTGTGAGTGTTGTCCTTAAATGCACAAAATCGTAAAACAATCAATTAATACAAGTCATATTTGGTTTAAAATCCTCAAAATATGCACAGTTAACGCATATGCACGCATGTTTGAGTACTATTCATGCGCAATATCATCATCATTGTGTAAGTATCTACAGGTTGGTGTGGCATCAGACTCTCATTTCCGTTGGAAGGCAAATCAAGTGATTCACTTTCAGCAAAATCATGTCTTCCTCCCACCAAGGGATCATCTTCTTCTGCCTTAATTGCTGACATCCCACCTATTCCAGAATGCATTCCACCGGCAGCGGGTAATTTATCAGTGCCTGTTTCATTAGGTTCTTGAGTCATGAAGCTTGTTTCTGCAAACTGATCTATTATCGCTGCTGCCATATTTCGGATTCTCTTCCTTCAGCCGACCAATCAGAAACAACAATCCTGGGTTCTGAATGAGTATGGGAGCCAGGTAATGTCATGCTTATCTCATCCATAATGACTTCCTTAATTTCCATGTCAGGCTGCTGCATTTCAGCTGTCCTGCCTTGCTCTGTTAGGTGTTCTTCTCTGTTGGTAGCGTCTAGTGGTCTCACCTCTTCATAATCATCATCCTCACCTTCCAGGTGCTGCCTTTCCGCCTGTGTGTTGCACTGCATGCAGGTGGAATGTTGTTATCATCCGGGACATCAACAACAGGTTGCACAATGCTGCCTGCTCCACGACTAGATAAATCAGCATCGTCGATTTCAGCATACTCTCCATCATCGATATGTTCTGGCATGTTCTGCATGGGTGTGATGTACGATCTAAACCTATGGATTATACTGGGGTTAACAAAACGCTCTGTAATGCATGTATAAACACGATCACACGGTAATACACTGTATGTATATATGAAATGTTCCAACAATAGAAGGATAAAGAGATACTACTTGCCTTAGGTGCCAGTAGTCTGAAAAATGATAACAATAATAAATTTAGTGTTATACTCAAGATTCTCGAAGATACTTGGAATGCGAAATGAAGGTTAGAGGTACGTACTTGATATTCTGAAAACGATATCTATATTGATTACTTGATACTTGTAACGATCGCGGCGACTGAACAACCAACAACAAGATGTAGACTCCTTCCTGGAATATCTGCAAGTGCACCAACTTAGTTGTTACAGGTTTAATACTATACTGAGTCAAAAAAGAAATTTCACATGCTTTCTTCAGGGCACTATAAAAGAACAAGAGATGCTAAGATGGTTAAATTGTTATTATTTCATTGCTGAGATCTGTGTGATGTACTCGATACACTGACAGTGCCATGATCAGTTCCATTAGGCTACACCGTCGTTCCAAAACATGGGTATACAGAATGTCAAGTCACAAGAATAAAAATGCAAAATTTCTCAGTTCAATATCGTGTATGGCCTCCCAGCGCATTCACCACTGCCAAACACAGTCTCCTCATTGACTGCCTGATGCTTGTGAACACGTGGTTGGGGATTCTGCGCCATTGCTCTTTCAAGGCAGCGCCAAATTCCTGCAAATTCTGAGGTTGGTTCCTAAGACCAAGAAGCCTTCTCCCATGTGCATCCCAAACGTGCTCTATTGGATTAAAGTCGGGGGACCTCGATGGCCAGTTCATGACGTTGATTCCAGCGTTTTGAAGGAAATTTCGTGTCAACATCGCGGTATGTGGCCGAGCATTATCATGCTGGAGCTGTAGACCTGGGCCATTACCCGCCATGAAAGGAACGGGTTCAGGGGTGAGCATCTGGTCGCGGTAAGCAGCAGCTGTTAGGTTTCCACGGATGACCAGAAGCCGGGAACGGTTGTTCCCACAGAAAGCACCCCACTCCATGCAACTTCCGCCCCCGAATCTGTCGACTTCGTGTACACAACATTGGGCATACCGTTCACGACGTCGTCTCCAGACGCTATGCCTGCCGTCAGCGAATCTGAGGGTCAACCTGGATTCATCGCTAAAGACGACTCGATTGCAATCTCTCTGGGTCCATCAGAGGTGACGTTGGGCCCACAGCAGACGTTGACGTTGGTGAAACGGCGTCAATATTGGCCCACGATATGGACGTTGAGAATGGAGATTGACAGCCCGCAACCGATTTCGAATGGTCTGTGAGGACAGTCGACCTCTAAACATCTCAGCCCTGGTTCGTGTAGCCGGCGGAAATCTGTCACGCAGGTGACGTAAGGACGATTTGACGGTCTTCTGCTCGTGACGTCACACGTGGACGACCCGACTTTGGGCGATCAGAAGTGGTGCCAGTTTGTTGTAGACGACCTCGCAAGTCATACTTGCTCTTGCGACGTCAATAACTGATCTTCCCGCTTGCAACATGCCAACGGTACGTTCACGTTGCACATTTGACAATCGTGGCATTTCAAGTACCGTTAGAACTGTGGTTTAAGGCGTTTTTTCAATTCTTCAGGCCAATGCAAACACGTGCATATGAAGAAAACTTCGATGCGAAGATCACGTGATCGACTGGACGTGCAAAACCTGATTTGGCACTTACGTCATTTACACGACGAATGGATGGGTTTGAGTGGGTTTTGCTAACGTTTTTCTAGAGTCGAAAGATAGGGATCCCATTTCGGATACATAGATGTATCATCAGAGAAACATCATTCATTATTTTTCAAATTACATTTTGTGGAGTTTCTTTTTTGACTCAGTATATTACTGTCTTCATTTCACTTGACTATGCAACATCAAAGTTTTCAGTTTGTATGTTTTAGAGATCAATTAACATTCATTCTACTTTACAAGATGATATATGATGTAAACTTTCCGTACCTTTTCGGCAGAAATATTGAAATAAGTTGAAGAGTGATTATATTCCACACTGAATTTGTGTACCCCCAAAGTCTGCGTCGGTGATATTATGTATAATGAATGAATATTCAAATACATTGTGTGTTATATTCTTGGTTGCCAGGTCATACTTCTTTATGTTGGCAATATCTCTAAGATTGCCTGACGGTGTGGCCCAGGGTATGAACACAGCGTAATGCTGATAACCATCGAATTAGTCTTTCCAATGATCACAAAAGCATGTGATGCTTGTTCACGTGGCATTCCTGAAAGGAGATGTGCACATTTATATAACCATCCATGGCACCACGAATGTCCTCCACATACTATCCAATTGTGCCAAATTGAACACTGGGCCTCAGTGTGACAAGCGTTTATCTATCAGACCCCATGTAGTGACGAATAACGAAAAGTCGGCAAACGCAGGCGTATGAGTGACTAAGCTTTGAGTTCCTTCTACAAAATGATAGCAATCTGATGAACGGAATAACCAGAAAGTATGCATTTGAATATATCCGACATCTGTATATCTAATGATGAATATAGAAAAGGGCAGAAATAGAAGCGTTTGAGTGTGTATGTACTTTTGTTTACTCTGTTAAAATGAATTACCATGACACGGTGATTTTAAAATCGAGACACACCTTTCAAGACAACTGTATGTTGCCCATCTTCTGATTCACCAGCAACATTCGTGGCTCTACAAGAATACACACCGAGCTGAGAACACTTCCGTACGTCCATGGCATGTTCATACACATTCCGTTGTGTCCTAGATATATTCACTGAGACCAAAGTACTTTCCTGAATAAGAGACACAGCTGCGAATAGAGGACCCTCAACCATACACCTGAAGACGACAACTTGATTTTCTTTTACAGTTGTGCATGTTGTTCCATTCACCGTCAGTTCTCCAACTTCAAGTTCTGGGGAAAATGCATTGTTATTAGGGAAATAACATTACAGAACATTCAGAACATTGTGGTGGATAAAAGCAAAAACAGCACTTCTTTCCAGCGCAAAAATGTTAATGACATTTAATTTCCTGAAGTTGTAGTGTTTTTAGAGTACATGTCGTTAGGGCAATAAAACTCACATTACATCATGGCTTATAACAGATAGAAACAGGCCTTTCTATCTTTGCACGGACATTTTAAAGCCAGCTGATTTCCTAAAACCGTAAATTGTCTTTTGATTGTACATGTACAACTGATATGTATATTTCTAATTATGTATGACGCTACAACAACTATAACTCCCTGCTACTATGGTATCACTGACGTTATATAATACAGATACTTCAGGACATCGCTTCGGCACGTCAAACCAAAGATTTGAGTTCAAATGTGAACAAGTATAAGACTTGCATCTTGTATCCCAATCACCAACATAAATAACTCCATCTCTACATAAAGTGGTTTACACTAGTGTACTTATTCATAATTAAAACACAATACATATGCAAGTGGAATACCGTCAACACCGTTATTTCAAAAGAGGTCTTATATTGGTACATCGACATTTCTAGCTGTAGAAACGTTTTATATACACATATACATAAAGAAGTGAAATGAGTTAACGTGTCTTATGGAGTCATAACCCTACAATCTTCTTAAGTTTTAAACCGAATAGGGATACACTTCATGACTTTCTTACAACACTAACATGGACATACTTTAGACAAACAAAGTCAGCAACAAGTGGACTCCACCAAGACCAAAGAAACATATTTTTTGCATAGGAATAGTGTTTGAATGACAAAATGATAACATTCATGGAGTCTCGATGAGTCACTGGAGTTAGTTCAGTGCCGATTTATCATGCTAGTTTGTGGTGTGAGGGGTTTGGTTTGTGTGTATGATTTTATGACTGCCTGTGTATGTGTATGTGTCTGTGTGTGTCTGTTTGTATATGTGTATGTATGTGTGTAGGGGTTTGTTTGTGTGTGTGTGTGTGTGTGTGTCTGTGCGCGTGTTTGTATGTGTATGCATGTATGTAGAACAGAACAGAACAGAGTGTAATACGTGTGTTGACAACTGATGGTATAGGGGAGGTAACAAGTACCAAATGTTACTACTGAAGCTCTCATAAAATATATGTACAAGGCTACAAAGATAGAATCTACGATATCTTACAAAATAAATGACATGTAGTTAAACTATGAGAACTTGTAAACCTGACAAGTTATCACACACACAAAACTCTGAACCAGCAACCTTAAAGATTAAACCATGAAAATCTGTTGGTGAATCTCGTCTCACACAAACACATGTTGTTTCTGAGAAAAGTATGATTGTCAAGTCGGAGTCACTTTTGTTGCCATTGGCATACGTACTCCTTCACTCATCCCGTCCGCGAAAACCGCCTCTGCCTCAATGAAAGCCTCTGCTACGCTGAGGAGTGCACACAGTAGACATCGCTACCGTGCTTCGAAGATTCTTTAAACCACGTGACAAAAACCCTGACGTGTTACGTTGTTCAAGTGACTTGAAGAATCTTGAAACAGTCCTGTCGAACTGACCTTGAACTGCGAGCACTGAAAACCCGTCCTGTAGATAAGCTATCTCTGCTTGAAGGATGATGGAACCTCCCACCAACTTCAACCTCTTGTCCGGTTCTCCTCCACGTGTAAATCATTCTAAGATAATGGTCCACGGGTACAATGGAAGAGTTGGTTTCGCATGTCAAAACGATGTTGGTGGTGTTGACAATGACACTGATGTTTGCATCTGCGGGGTTTCCTTAATAAAACATAATATCAAATTAAATTACTCAATACGAAACGACAAATACATAGTGTGTCTTCACTATCCTCAGAAAGACATTCAGTTTAGTGTTAAGGGAAAATATCTGCGATCCCTGAAAAGCAGTGATGACACCAGGTGTTTCCGAAAAAAAGTGTAAACATGTCCTGCCCTACCGGTAGCAGTACTATAGTCATGACACGGAGTATGACAGAATCAGCTGACGTTGTTATCTTCGTTGTAGACAACAACAGAGTTTACTACAAAGAGCCTTCCAAATCTAGGTGCCAATACAAGGAAATCCTCATCAACCAGCGGCATCTTCCAAATAATCAAAGCACTGTGTCCTTCGCAAACTACTGCATAGTTTTCAAAAGACCCAGCTGAAATAACACAAGTATAGCATAAGTATCTACACTTCGTTGATCTAGTGAAAGATGGGCATGTTTGCATGTTGTACATAAGTACAATGTTAACATTCGAAATTCATTTCAATTATCAGTGAATAATACGCTATTCCTAAGCATGTCAAAAGGTTTTTCTCTATGTGCTGACAGTCGATAACCCAACAAGTCAGGTCTCAAAACTGTTACTTCCTTGTGAATCGACGGTTTTGTCATGAATATCCAAGTTAAAAGTGACACGCCAAATACCTATCTTAACACTATCTTACGTCCGAATTTCAATATCGTAGGCAAAATTCACTTACACTGTTTCACCGGTGCATACACTTCACTCCATCCTAACTCCACCCTTGGTCCTACTACAACCTGACACTGGAAGTTATCTTCCTTGGCTGTGCCTACGTCACTGACAGTGAGGGTACTTCTGTGGTACCTAATACCCGTTTTCCTCGCACGACTCTCCTGATTTACGGTGTATGTTATTCTGTCGTTGGCAAGTACACCGTTCCTTCTCCAGTTCATCAACAGCATCAACTTTACATCAACTGGACCATACAGTTCGAAGACACTGAAGCAAGACAGTGTTACACTCCTGTCCACGTGAGTTGTTTCTGGTGCAGCGATGTATGGCTGTTGGAAATCTGTAACATCAAATGTTTGTACAGCATTGACTTAACCATGGACATGCAAATGTGTGCAACCGCCAATGTGTGGTTGTCTATTATAGACTACTATCCAAAAGAATCGATATCACACGTTTGAAAGGCAATAAACGAAAAACAAAACGATAAAGAAATTTTATGTTGGTACATTTCATCTGAAGGTCGAGTTGGGGGTCGAGTTGGTCGACTTTAAGAACGAGTTAGGTCGAGTCAGGTCGAGTCAGATCGAATCAGGTGTACCAAGTTTTTGAACATTTTTTGACATGTCAAACATCTTCCCCGGCTTCTTCCTCGACCTTCGGTCCGAGATGGTGTGGTGATCAGGTCGGGATTAGGTCGAGGTAGGTCGATAACAGGTCGCGTTTAGGTCGACATTAGGTCGAGTTGGTCGAGTTGAAGGTCGAGCTCGCCTGACATGCCGATCTGTGTTAGTCTTAGAGTCGATCTGTAATCGACCTCGACTGGACCTTGAGTCGACCAACTCGAACTGGACCCCGTTTGGACTCAACCTGGAGTCGACCGACTCGACCTGAAGTCAATCTATCTCGACCTCAACTCGACCTAATAAATGGTCACCATCTTCCCAATTGCTTCATAAAGCCAAACGGCAGCCAGTGGTAGCACATCATCTCCACACCAACCTGCTGCCACCCGGAGGTCAACCCTGAGCACACCACCTTCTACAACATGCCGCGAAGCAGCGGATCAGGCTGGTATCTTCCCCAGCTTTGACTCTAGTGCTTCAGCAGGTATATCTCTGTACCTGCCAAGCGGTCTCTTGGACCCTACACACACCTCAGAGGATCAGTCACATGTTCAGGACTACTAGTTATATAATGATGGTTCTATTACAGGTACCTTATAGGCTTATTTATACATCATTCGATGAACAGACGAGCTCGCCAGCCTGAACTAAACCTTCCAGCCCCCATTAAAAATTAGCGAGAGGCATCCTTCGATGTGCCACCAGCCTGGACTGGGTTAATCCTGACCAACAACCCATTTAAATATTTTTTTTAAATGTAGCCATAATATTCGGCGACGACTTTATGGAGTGGGTCTGCCATGAATTCCTTGAAGTGGATAAAGGAGTACAGGACATCGCATTCTCGGGTTTCGAAGCTATAATCGATTAACGTATCCATGAGGAGTTATAACCGTTCGGTGCCCTCGAGACCTAAACTATCGTACAGGCTGGTGAATTTCCCTCGACTTATGACTCGACGCAGGGCCGCTTAAATATCGAGGCCACGGACGTCCACCCCGACGCGTCTGAACAACCGTTTCTCGATCAATCTCCACGTGTACAAGAAACATAAGACGAATCTTTAATAAAAAGGTGGCAATACCGTGTCGTGAGGGACAATCATCAATTCCTCTCGAACGAATCCCCTACCCGGTCCGTCTTGCAAGTAATACAGATTCGGTTCGTCGTCTTTGATGTCCACTCGGTCGATGTGGTACGTTTTCATGGACCATACGGGGTCTGTGGTGCGACATTTATCCCCTCCTTTGAGCTCACAGGGCTGGTAAGGTGAGTGAGTAAGTTAAGTTTAACGCCGCTTTTAGCAATATTACAGCAATAACAGTTCTGTGGACACCAGAAATGTTCTTCACACATTATACCCATCTGGGGTACTGCCTCCGTGGTGTAATGGTCCGTCCGGAGAAGGGAAGGTCGCGGGTTCGATCCCCGGCCACGTCATGCCAAAATATGGTTCTTGTTGGTCCTTGCCTGGCGCATTAATGGGTACAACAAGGCTCGAAGAGCTTGAGTTTTACACTTGGGTAGCTTGAGTGTACACGTGGGTAGCTTGGGTGTAAACGTGAGGAACTTGAGTGTAAACGTTTGTAGCTTGAGTGTACACGTGTGTAACGTGAGTGTATATGTGTGTAGTTTGAGCGTAATAGTGTGTAGTTTGAATGCACACGTGTGTAGCTTGAGTGTAAACGTGCGTAGCCCTTTTGTAAACGTGGGTACACTGAGTGCACACGCAAATAGCATGATTTGTGAGGAAATATATCCGGGTATATATAGTTTAATTTGTTGGTTGCATTTTAATATAGTGGCAAATGTATTTAAAAGATGACGAATCTTTATTTACCCAAACACTGCATCTGATCACAGTTAGATAGCTGTTATATCTATATTTTAGATTAATATATCTGTATGAATGTTTTGCAACGGACAGTAAGCCAGTAGTTACTTTATGTTTGAAAAAGAAAACCCTGCTATAAACGATACATCTCCACTATCAATGGTTCAGTATTTCTTCCGTTGCACTGGGATCCAAGATGTGTGTATGTATTCTGGTCATTCTTTTAACAAGTAGATGGAAACAGCTGATCAATTTTGCTTTAGTGTATCTGACAGTACATCAAATACATTATTTGTACTTGACTCTACCAAATTACATGTGCGATTCATAAAGAAAATATTAACGTTAATATAAATATGGGAATGATACCAGTTTTAGTCCTTTCCGTTGGTCGAGAGGTTTTCGTTCTGTCACTTAACGACATGTTAGTGACTGACTGACTGACTGAGTTTGGTTTTACGCCGCTTTTAGCAATATTCCAGCAACATCAAGGAGGGGGACACCAGAAATGGGCTTCACACATTGTGCCCCTGTGGGGATTCGAACCCGGGTCTTCGGCGTGACGAGCCAACGCTTTAACCATTAGGCTACTCCACCGCCCGACATGTTAGTGTGTTACATTGTTGCACTGTCGTAGGAATCCTTCAAGTTGACAAAAATACACAGTCTGTATTACTTGTGACAAGTAAGGTTCAAATTCAAATATCTTTGACACACAAATACAAACAAAAAGCCGTTTAAGGTATTTATTAACATAAGAAGTTGGAAACAAGCTGATATAAAAGCTAAATTTAATGTAAATGTAAACAGGAAATCATTCTCATAATGAAACAGATCGGGTCATTCAGCATTATCAGTGTTTCCCAGTCGTCTAAAGCGGAAAAAGAATATCTGAACTTGATACCAAAATAATTTTCCCACTGACTATTTAAGGCTTTGTGGTACTAGTATGTGGAAACTATCACGGAACATAATGTAATTAAAAATTTAGTCAAATACATGTTATTATATGTAACAGTTATATGTACAAATATATGTTAAAGTTCGTAAAATAATATTTGACACTAATCTAAATCGTTGGCGTATTTATGACGAATAATGAATAAGTGAATGATTCACTACATTGCTTTAATATTTTCCGAATTAAACTTATGCTATTTGTTTCAAACTCAGATTACCGAAAGCTTGCTCCGAGTATCATGCTGATCAGTTTGTAACGTTCCATGTAATTGAGGACAATTTGTATAATAAAAAGGACATTTGTTAACGTTATAAAAACCTGTCTAAAACTGACAGTAAAAAAATATCTCAATATATATATATACAGTGTATTTGCTAGACATATATACAGTGTATTAGACTCATAATATAGAAAGTATGTACAGTTTATTTATAACAGCCTTTAGTAGCACATTTCCATTGTTTCAAAACACATATATGAAGCGTTGTAAGTAATGCTAAACTTATTAATATTTGAAGAAATAAAGAATTTGCAACACATCTAAATAATAGAACAAAACACTCAGTCTACAAAAAGACAGATCACTGTATGCATTCTCCTCTCCTGATCTTTCTAAGTGCTTGTAACAAAAAACACACTGCTAATTGCTGGTTATACCACAATAGCATCAATACAAACGGTATTTATAATAGTAATAACATATTTGTAACGCGCATATAGCCATGCTTATGCATGCTCAAAGCGCACAAATAAAAATGCAAGTAAGGGAAAGAGCTGCAGTTCAAAGGCTATCTTGAACATGTGCTTTTTCAGCTTGGATTTAAAGGTATGAAAGGTCACAACAGTCTTTGAGACTCTGTGGGAGGCTGTTCCAGGCCATTGATCCTGCATGGACAAAGGACCTGTTTCCATACTGCACTGTCAAGAATAAGCAAGTTCTTATCCTGTGAGCGGAGAGATCGGGAAGGCGTGTACACGGTCAGAAGATTGGATACATAGGAAGGCACAGTTCCAGTGAGACAGCGGAAAAGAAGGCATAGGAGTTTAACCTTGAGGCAGTGGAGAGTGTACAGTATAGGAGTAATGTGTTCATATTTTCCAGAGCGAGTCACGATGCGGGCGGCGACGTTCTGCACTCTCTGTAGCTTTGCTATCTGGGTGTTTGATGCACCGGCCAGTAAATAGTTACAATAATCAAGTTAAATCATTACAATTAATAATACAAGAGTCTTGGCAGATTCAACTGTAAAACATTGGCGAATATGTCAAATGTTGCGGTGTGACGTGAAACAGGTTTTGACAAGATGAGGTACATGATAATCGAGTGACAAGATTGAATCTAAGGACACGCCCAGGTCTTTCACTTGATCAGCAAAGTAGATACATGAATTATCAAATTCCATTCTTTAGCAAATAATCTGTGTACATTTTATACAGTTTATAATAAATCAACACAAACATATATATAAAATATATACTGACAGTATTACAGGTTAATATACAAATGATTATCTCTCTTGGCCTTATAGCAAAGCACTCATTACAAAAAGACAGTGATACATGTGTGTGTACCCACGATATTAACACCAAGTACTTGTAACATGTGGCAGAGTACGCGTCATGCCTTACCTCCATACACATGACGTAGATTTATCGAAGTATTCTTGCAATGGATTTCTTTTGCGGTTTTAAACAATTTGAGAGCGTTGTCCTTCGATAACTGCGCACAAAAAGTAGCGATTCTTTAATACAAGTCATATTTGGTTTATACTTCTCAAAATATGTACAGTTGACGCATATACACACGTTTTCTCCATGTAAAACAAGTGCAAAAATTATGTTTTATAAGTCAAGTAGTGATACCTGAACACATACACTGACCAGATTAAACACTTCGGGCTGATCTGAATGTCAGAGCAAATTTAATTCAACAACATTATAACCCACATTATTGATATTAATTTTCCCTCTTTTACGGGTTTTACACAGTACTTGCGACACATGTTTGAGTACTAATCATGCGTAATATCATCATCATTGTCCAAGGCTGTGTAAGTATCTCGAGGTTGGTGCGGCATCAGACTCGCATATCTGTTGCAAGGCAAATCAAGAGGTTCACTTTCAACATAATCCTCTCTTCCTTCCTCCAAGGGATCATCTTCTTCTGCCTTAATTGCTGTTATCCCATCTATTCCAGCATACATTCCACTGACCAAGGGTAACTTGTCAGTGTCTGTTTCGTCAGGTTCTTGAGTCATGAAGCTTGTTTCTTGAAACTGATCTATTATCGCTGCTGCCATATGTCCAGATTCTCGTCCTTCAGCCGACCAATCAGAAACAACAATCCTGGGTTCTGAATGAGTATGGGAGCCAGGTAATGTCATGATTATCTCATCCGTAATGTCTTCCTTAATTTCCATGTCAGGCTGCTGCATTTCAGCTGTCCTGCCTTGCCCTGTTAGGTGTTCTTCTCTGTTGGTAGCATCTATGGGTCTCACCTCTTCATAATCATCATCCTCACCTTCCAGGTGTTGCCTTTCCCGCCTGTGTGTTGCACTGCATGCAGGTGGAATGTTGTTATCATCCGGGACATCAACAACAGGTTGCACGATGCTGCCTGCTCCACGACCAGATAAATCAGCATCGTCGATTTCAGCATACTCTCCATCATCGATATGTTCTGGCATGTTCTGCATGGGTGTGATGTACGATCGAAATCTGTGGATTATACTGGGGTTAACACAACGCTCTGTAATGTATGCATAAACACGATCACACGGTAATCTATATATATATATATAAGAATAAAGAGATACTACTTGCCTTAGGTGCCAGTAGTCTGAAAAATGATAACAATAATAAATTTAGTGTTATACGCAAGATTCTCGAAGATACTTGAAACGCGAAATGAAGGTTAGAGGTATGTACTCAATATTCTGAAACCGATATCTATATTGATTACTTGATAACTGTTAAAGTAATTTACATGTTCAGATTCCCGTTGTGAAATATCGCAAGTATAATGTCTCAAAAAATGGTGTAAATTATTTGTTGAACATCATGTATCTTACCTCTTATCTGGTTGAGTCGTGACAGGATGACAGCAGCAATGATGGCCAGGACTATAACGATCGCGGCTACTGAACAACCAACAACAAGATGTAGACTCCTTCCTGGAATATCTGCAAGTGCACCAACATAGTTATTACAGTTTTAATACTATTACTGTGTTCATTTCACTTGAGTATGCAACTTCAAAGTTTTCAGGTTGTATGTTTCAGAGATCCATTAACATTCATTCTACTTTACAAGATGATGTATGATGTAAACTTTTCGTACCTGTTATTTTGGAGGCAGGAATATTGAAATCAGTTGAAGAGTGATTATATACCACACTGAATTTGTATACCCCAAAGTCTGCGTCGGTGATATTATGTATACTGAATGAATATTCAAATACATTGTGTGTTATATTCTTGGTTGCCAGGTCATACTTCTTTATGTCGGTAATATCTTTAAGATTGCCTGACGGTGTGAAGCCCAGTTTTGGTTTCGATGGTCCAGGGTATGAACACAGCGTAATGCTGATAACCAACGAATGAGTCTTTCCAATGATCACAGAAGCATGTGATGCTTGTTCACGTGGCGTTCCTGAAAGGAGATGAGCACATTTATATAACCATCCATGGCACCAAGAATGCCCTCCACACACTATCCAATTGTGTCAAATTGAACACTGGTCCTCAGTGTGACAAGCGTTTATCTATCAGACCCCATGTAGTGACGAAGAACGAAAAGTCGGCAAACGCAGGCGTATGAGTGACTAAGCTTTGAGTTCCTTCTACAAAACGATAGCAATCTGATGAACGGAATAACCAAAAAGTATGCATTTGAATCTATCCGACATCTGTATATCTAATGATGAATTTAGAATAGGGCAGAAATAGAAGCGTTTGAGTGTGTATGTACTTTTGTTTACTCTGTTGAAATGAATTACCATGACACGGTGATTTTAAAATCGAGACAAACCTTTCAAGACAACTGTATGTTGCCCATATTCTGATTCACCAGCAACATTCGTGGCTCTACAAGAATACACACCGAGCTGAGAGCACTTCCGTACGACCATAGCATGTTCATACACATGCTGTTGTGTCCTGGACATATTCACTGAGACCAAAGTACTTTCCTGAATAAGAGACACAGCTGCGAATGGAGGACCCTCAACCATACACCTGAAGACGACAACTTGATTTTCTTTTACAGTTGTGCATGTTGTTCCATTCACCGTCAGTTCTCCAACTTCAAGTTCTGGGGAAAATGCATTGTTATTAGGGAAATAACATCACAGAACATTCAGAACATTGTGGTGGATAAGAGTAAAAACAGCATTTCTTTCCACCGCAAATATTTTAATGACATTTGATTTCCTGAAGTTGTAGTGTTTTTAGAGTACATGTCGTTAGGGCAATAAAACTCACATTACATTATGGCTTATAACAGATAGAAACAGTCCTTTCTCTCTTTGCACTGACATTTTAAAGCCAGCTGATTTCCTAAAACCGTAAATTGTCTTTTGATTGTACATGTACAACTGATATGCATATTTCTAATTATGTATGACGCTACAACAGCTATAACTCCCTGCTACTATGGTATCACTGACGTTATATAATACAGATACTTCAGGACATCGCTTCGGCACGTCAAACCAAAGATTTGAGTTCAAATCTGAACAAGTATAAGACTTGCATCTTGTATCCCAATCACCAACATAAATAACTCCATCTCTACATAAAGTGGTTTACACTAGTGTACTAATTCATAATCAAAACACAATACATATGCAAGTGGAATACCGTCAACACCGTTATTTCCAAGGAGGTCTTATATTGGTACTTCGACATTTCTGGCTGTAGAAAGGTTTTATATACACATATACATAAAGAAGTGAAAGAGTTAACGTGTCTTATGGAGTCATAACCTTACAATCTTCTTACATTTCAAACCGAACAGCGATACATTTCATGACTTTCTTACCACACTTACATGAAAATACATTCGACAAACAAAGTCAACAACATGTAGACTCCACATAGACCAAAGAAACATATTTTTTTTGCATAGGAATAGTGTTTGAATGACAAAATGATAACATTCATGGAGTCTCGATGAGTCCATGGAGTTAGTTCAGTGCCGATTTATCATGCTAGTTTGTGGTGTGAGGGGTTTGGTTTGTGTGTATGATTTTATGACTGCCTGTGTATGTGTATATATCTGTGTGTGTCTGTTTGTATATGTGTATGTATGTGCTTAGGGGTTTGTTGTGTGAGTGTGTGTGTGTGTTTGTGTGCGTGTGTGTGCGTGTTTGTACATGTATGCATGTATGTAGAACAGAACAGAACTGAGTGTAATACGTGTGTCGCCAACTGATGGTATAGGGGAGGTAACAAGTACCAAAGTTACTACTGAAGCTCTCATAAAATATACGTACAAGGCCACCTGGAAAGATAGAATCTATAATATCTTACAAAATAAATGACAGGTTGTTAAACTATGAGAACTTGTAAACCTGACTATAATCGTTATCACACACACAAAACTCTGAACTAGCAACTTTAAAGATTAAACCATGAAAATCCGTTGGTGAATCTCGTCTGACACAAACACATGTTGTTTCTGAGAAAAAGTATGATTGTCAAGTCGGAGTCCCTCTGGTTTTGTTGCCATTGGCATACGTACTCCTTCACTCATCCCGTCCGCGAAAACCGCCTCTGCCCCGATGAAAGCCTCTGCTACGCTGAGGAGTGTACACAGTAGACATCGCTGCCGTGCTTCGAAGATTCTTTAAAGCACGTGATGAAAACCCTGACGTGTTACGTTGAAGTGACCTGAAGAATCTCGAAACAGTCGGGTCGAACTGACCTTGAACTGCGAGCGCTGAAAACTCGTCCTGTAGATAAGCTATCTCTGCTTGAAGAATGATTAAAATCTGGTGGTGACGACTATCACAGTCTGAATGACTACATTCCAGTAATAAAGACATACACTTTATAACAGTCTCAGTATAACGTGCACATCTGGCAATGACATTGTGAACTCCGGTCAGCCAAGCGTCTAATTCCCTGACGACTGTCACTTACCAGTAATTCTGGGTGTAGTTTTACATTAGAAACAGTGTCCCTCACACTCTGGTATTCACCTTGAATATCTACGTCTCCAGCGGCGACTGGGGTGCTCAACTACCACGTCAGGTCTGGTCTCACCTTTTGAGCGCCGGTTAAATTGGGACGTCAACGGTTCTTGGTCACCGTCCTCGCTCACAGGCGATACGACTAGCTCTCAAGTGCAGCAATTCGTGCTCTTAAGTCTTCACAGTCGTAAGACACTTTCTGTACAAGGGACAGAATCTTGTCAAGCTTGGGATTCTCAATGATTCTGATTTTTCCAATGACATATTGCCGCAGCAAAATGGCGGCCGTCCTGCCTACTGTGTGAACAGAGCAAGAATGATTACGTGACGTCACAAGTGACGTCACCGGTGTAACACGTTGCTGCTTCTCATGACAACTATCAGTTTCTGTCTATGTCGAAATAGGGAATTGTATAGAATGCCATTTTTTTTACTGACACTTCAAAATTCTTCTTCATGTTTTCTGTAATGTTGTTATAAGAATTGAGGACATCGTGAGCAGTAACCAACAATGAATTCACACTGCATCATGCTTACAATCCTGGGTGCCGTTGTACAAAACAACCTTAGCGCAAAGGCTACCTTAAGACCACGTTAAGGTATGGGATTTACGGTCACCTTAGCGCTAAGATCGTTTTATACAACGGCACCCAGATTGTAAATCCACTTCACAGCTGGACAATGTGACTTGTCCACGATGATACCCACGACGTGTAAAGATTTATTTATAACACGATGTGGCAAACAAAATGCTGTTATCAGAACATGCTAGCTAACAAGGATTGTGTTGTTCACATTATTTAAATTGCACGTTGGAATTATAAATAACGACTTAAGTAGCGTAGCCCTCATGCATATTATTGAGACATGCATTTTTCCATTTCAGAATAAAACTTTTTCCAATGAACTTTATATCAAGCATAGTTACTTGTTCCCATACGTATATTGTAAAGAAGGCTCATATGACTTTAGTCACGCTAATTCAACAACCTGATAATACCGTATATGTTTACTTGTCTGCTTGCACGGGGTGCCTCACGTCAAGATATTTGTATCGTCTCTGGCAAAATATTCTTTGAGCCAGTTCATATTGAACTGAATTGCCTTTATACTGAATTCTTTGATTAGCATAGTCACCATGATATAACTGAACACAATTTATTTGTCATTGAGGGTCTGCATGTTGATGAAGACATGATGGAACATTTGTGAAATCAGCTCCAGGCCAGTTCTATAATGCGTCTGCCTGGTTCTTGCATTCAGCACTTACTTGCTAGCATGTGGAGATCGACTGTATCACTCCAGTTGGATGCCAGACCTTCCTCTGTAGATTGACATGAGTAGTTGCCCAGGTCCTCTTTCTTCACGTCAGTCACAGCCAGGTTGTGTCCTGAAGCGTGGAACCTCCCTCCAATCACTACCTCTTGTCCGTTTCTCTTCCACGTGTACATCATTCTAAGATAATGGTCCACAGGTACAATGGAAGACTTGGTTTCGCATGTCAAAACGATGTTGTTGGTGTTGACAACGGCGCTGATGTATGAGTGAGCGGGTTTCCCTTAATAAAACATAATATCAAATTAAATTGCTCAAAACGATCATAACGTCAAATAAATAGCGTGTCCTGACTATCCTCAGAAAGACATTCAGTTTAGTGTAAAGGGAAAAGAGCTGCGAAAGTTGTATGAACGGACCTCTGAAAATCGGTGATGACACCAGGTGTTCACAAAAAGTGTCAGCATGTCCTGCCCTACCGGTAGCAGCCGTCATCCATAAGATATGCCTAAACTGGATCTATGTTTGCTTGACATCAATACTATAGCCATGCCACGGCGGCCTGTAAACCAGACAATCAAGTGATTGATGGACCGGAATGTCCTGTCAGGCAACCTCTAATAACGCCAGCTGTACAGAAGCACAGAGATTTTCAGCAAGAACTCGGATAGTGACTTAAACGAATTGCTATATCACTGATATGACACTAAAAAAAGTTTTAAAGTGTTATATCACTTAAAAACACGTAACTGGTGATGCTTTTGAGCTAGTGTACCTACCTTGTACATACAGCATGTGCTGACAATTGGGAATTGAACAGTGGTATCTTCCCGCATCCTCTTGTGCTGTATTGTGTAGCCAGAACTGGAGGATGACTGAATTAGCTGACGTTGTTATCTGCGTTATATTGACTCTCGTTCGGTAGGAATACCGGATGTAGACCCAAGGTGATTTTATATAAAAGAGCCATGTATCTTTAGGTGTCCTTACAGAGAACTCCCAATAAACCAACGGCATCCTCCAAGTAATGAATGCACTGTGTCCTTCACGAACTACTGTGTAGTTTTCACCAGACCCAGCTGAAATAACATAAGTATAGCATATATATCTACATTGCTTTGCTCCAGTGAAACATGGACATGTCTGTATGTTGTACATCGGTACAATGTTACACATTCGACATTCTTTAATTATCAATGAATACCAAACTATTTCAGGGCAACTCAACATTTTCCTCTTTGTGGTGACAGTACAGGACAGATCAATTCAGGTCACTCCTTGTGAATGGGTGGTTTTATCATAAATATTTAATTGCCATATCCAAGTTATAACTGATACGCCAAATACATTTTTCAATACTTCTTACGTCCGAATTTCAAATCGTTCACTCACATTGTTTATCCAGTATAAACGCTTCACTCCATCCTGACACCGCTCTCCGTCCTATAACAACCTGACACGTGAAGTTATCTCCCTTCGCTGTGTTCACGTCACTGACACTGAGGGTACTTCTGTAGATGCGCATGTGCAGGAATCATGACCACTAAGCCTCCAATGGGTTGTGTTTAGCGTAGCGTGTCCTCTATGATCACAGAGAAAGACGTTGAGAAAACCTCTCTAAAACCCCTACTTTTCACAAAATACAAAAATACGTTGCTTTATCTCGTATTTGAATTTATCTGTTGTTTTAAATGATATATATATATCATACCTGAATACCCTGTTTCTTTGCATTACGAACACATGACCCTGCATATGCAGTTAAAGGCATTTTCACACAGAAATCATGCATTGTGAGCTACTTTCACACAATCTGCTGCAAGTAAGGAAGTAAATACAGCATTTCGTAGCATCACAATTTGCAGTTGTATCACATCTCCCCATGTCTGTAAAAGAACCGCCCACAGCAAGATATTAAATACTATTCTTTGTACCTGAAAATTCGGGTCACCGATGACAAAACTGTCTAATTACCGGTATGACAGAGTTGGATCCCTTAGGTTAGCGCGCAACTTGATTCCACGCCGGTTCATCTTTGGTATTCACGCGTCTTAGCTATTTTCAGTTGGAAGCAATACTATGAACTGATTTTGGAAACCCTTATCCTTTTCAAAAAATGTTTTTGAATAAGAAAATACTCTCGCTCTAGAATTAGGGAAAACAAATGGAATATTTACTTAGTAGCGATAGCAATATGTCGAAAACTGGCAACAGGCACAAATAGGGAAAAAAATTCTTCTCAAGAATAAAGTCACCTCTTTCTACTTTATGTCACGTATCTACTCTCTGTCAGCTCTGTAAATGTACATATAATGGCAACTAAGAAATGTACATAACTGAAGGACGTCCCAGCATGGGATATATCGTTCACTCGTCGTAGACACAAAGAGGTAAGACATCATTTTATGTGATTATTAGATTATTAGAAGCAGTATCCTCCAACTTAACACCAACAGTTCGTTAGTAAGGTGTGTTTTAATTGAATTAAGGGTGTATCAAATTAATCAATCCATTTTCAGTCCATAATATTACACCAAGATATCCCAAAATGTGCATGTGAATCATATATGCATCCTTGACAATTGATTGTGATACTCACATTCAGTGATACTATAAAGTTGGTATTCGAGTAATCGAGATACCAAATAATGACAATAATACCAATCTAAGGCACAAAGGAAAGTGTACCGAGTATAACTGCTTTTCTGTAAATGAAAATGATTACAGGTATTGTTATTACCAAAAAAAATGAGCGTTATTGGTGAATATAGACAAATGGATTTCCCAAAGTAAACTGAGGGGCAAAAGAAACGTCCCCGATCATTTTTTTATCATAAAATGATACAAACACGTGCAATTCAATGTTGAAATGTTTTATATAATTGTTGAACATATTATGCAGACTGTCATTACAGAACAATTGAAACAATTTGCTGTAAGTAGAGTTTTTGTGACGTTTTTCACAGGAGGTTCAAATGTCCGGGTTTCGATCATGACAACACATGCACATCAGTACTGACAGAGTGTCTTTGAGTGTCCAACTCCTCAGTAGCGAGTGTGTCCACCTCTTGCAGCGATACATGCTGCCACACGACGTCGTGCAGAGTGCACAAGACGTCTGATCACGTGATCTGGGATGCGACGCCATTCTTCCTGTAGAGCTTGAGCCAAAGCAACAACGTGCTGTGCGTTCGTTCCGACGTCTGTAGACTCGTACCCGACCATCAGCTTTGTTCAACTGGAAGCGGCTCTCGTCACTGAAGAGTACCCGGCGCCAGTTCCGCGGCTGCCACTGCCGAACTCTACGTGCCCAAGCCAAGCGACGACGTCGATGTTCACGCGTTAACGTCACGCCCCGGAATGGTCTGTAGGCTCTGATACCGAATCGGCGGAGTCGTCTGGATATGGTCCTTCTACTGACTGGATGGGTAAGGCTGGTTGTTGCTGATGACGTCACAGTCAGGAATCTGTTGCGCAAGTGAAGCACCCGTAAATGGCGGTCTTCCTGAGGGGTGGTTACGGGTGGTCTCCCTGTCCTAGGCCTGTCTGCAGTCCGACCTGTTGTTCTGAAGCGTGTCATCAGTCTGGTGATGGTTTTCTTGCTGCAACCCATGATTCTTGCAACGTGACTGTGAGAAGCACCCAGCTGCAACATCCCAATAGCTCGTTCTCTCTGTTCTGCCGTGAGTCGAGGCATGTTCTTTGTGTCCAACGTATTGAAGTGATGAATTCGAACAGTCGAGCATAATTTTTATACTGTACTTTCATACGGGTATGTTTCCACCGAAGCATGCAAAAAAACGTGAATAAAAGCAATTTTCATGCTTACAAAAAACTCCACGTGGATTTCCTTTCTGTGAGACGTGGGGATGCGTTCGGGAGATGTGTTCCTAAATAAATTTCCGTCATAACGACAACAGAAGAACTGTTTTTTTCAAATTTTACTTTGGGGACGTTTCTTTTGCCCCTCAGTTTATTATTCTGTCCTCATTGAATTGATCGTAATTAGCACACACTTTATAGATTTATTTCAAAGTATGCAACTTGTTCTTGTGCTTCTTACGAAGGTAAGCACAATGTCATGTCAGCATTCATGTGTATACAGCATACTCTTACAATCTTATACGTATCAGGTTTAACTGTGCAAATTGATAAGACCATTAGCCATTTTCGGCTAGAAATGTTGATAGAATGAAAAACAGAACACCTTTACATCTTACAATAACATTTGTAAGGTGATATATCTTTGTGTTATCAAAATCAGTTGTTATCACTTATTTCCTGTAAGGTGCCTTTACAATTACTTATGGTCAACTTGTACCCGTAGTAATACTGCTGAAACATCATGCATGGCATAGCCTTCAAGTCATCAAATGGATAACAATAACAGGGTCTTGATTAGAGCAGAGCCTATATACCGATAGATTGTCCATGGGGAACACAATCAAAGTTGATACTATGGAAACACAGAAAATGTTTAAAGCATTTGTTGTTTCCTTAATGTTTAAACAAAACATCTGTGGTTTTCTTAACCTACCTTATACGTAGAAATTATCATAACAACACCAATCCTCTTGTTTGTTAACCAACTAACTTTGAATACATCAGACAATTGTGACCTGACAACACATCAACAATATTAAGACCAAGAACAACATCAATTCGGTAAGTGAATGTCTTATTCAGCTGACTGATGTCATCACACGTGAGAGCATGTTCTGTGCTTGTGTTTTGTCAGTCAAACGTGATGTAGTCAGAATAGAAGTGAACAATACCTCGAAATGGGCATAAATTAAGACAGAACAGGCGGTCGTTGTAGCAATTGTTTTCATCGCTGTAACAAAACAATAACGTGAATACGGTTCCCGTAGAAAAACGGGATTAACGGCGGTATTTGTCTTAATGTGGTTGACTGAAGTTCGTTTTATTCATTGTTTGTCAGATGGTTGATTTTTAAATAGATAGAAGAGCAATTACAGATCCATCAAATATACTTTGACTGACTAACTGAGTTTGGTTTTACGCCGCTTTTAGCAATATTCCAGTAACATCACGGCGGGGGACACCAGAAATGGGCTTAACACATTGTGCCCATGTAATATACTTTGAAATCAGTTAGCACTGTGTAGTTTTGTTTTTACTTTGAGTAAAGTGAATCCACTCGTCGATTTGAAAACGTCTTGTGGTACTTGTATAAGGAGTGTGTGTTAATACATATTTTCCCCTCTGTTTAGGGGTACAGAATATCTTGTCAAGTGGCAGGGGAATCCTATTGAGCAGTGGACCTGGGGAGCCAGATCAGCACATTCCAGCTAGCATCCGACACTCGTACGACAAACCCGAGATCTCAGATAGTCAACGAGAGACCTTTTTTCCGTGACGTTGGGCTTTTTATTTCAGGCAAGACTGAAGACTCAGGGCCTACAGTTTTCAGTCCCGTGTCATTTTGAACGTGTTCAGAGCCTTATTTAGGACTGACAGAGAAACTCTTCGCTGCAGAAAACAGCTAGAACGTCTGTCTTCCACCCTACTGGTGGTATAACATACAAGAACAAACAAGGCGAATCTTGTGTTGTGTATCTGGTCATAGCGAAACCCTGCCTGAGACAAACGACTAAAGCACACTGTGCATGATGGCCGAGTCACCAAGATAAGCATCTGTGGAGACAGTTGTGTTTCAGGCTCGCACAAGAGCTTGCAGCTTGGACCCTGATCCATCGTTAAACTATAATCATTCCGATATATGTACGATGTTTGGACATTCACTGTGTTGAGTTGTTTGTTTCTTTGTCATTTTCATAATACTTTTAAGTTCTTGAAATATATACAATGTCAGACAACCTGAGTAACTTACAGTTGAGTAAGTTCAAAGGACTCTGTTTCTCTGAACCAAGCCGATGTATCAACTTGAAATACCTTAAGAAAGATGATCAATTTGCAGTGTCTTTGCAAATGACAAATCTCTTCCTTAAAAACTTATACAAAGCAAAGAGAACAGTATGGCAATGTAACAATGGTCGACATCCTCAACTCTCAAGCTTGCTTACATCAGGATTCACCAGAATGATAGACTAGAAGACAGGATAGCTACCTGATGCGAATTGTTTGTCGCAAACTGAAGAAAATGAAAGGAGGGAAACAGAAAATCAAATGTGATGACAAATACACCATGGCCGTGTTTGTAAGGGAGTTAATGGAATCCTCAGAAATGAATAATGACGAACGTGAGTCACAATTTGACTCGAACAGAGTGGAAGTGAAAGCTCAGTGTGAGGAAATATGGTGCTCCTTAGCTGAAGACTCTGTAAACACCCCTGAGGACAGTGATAGTCTTACCCAGCGACATTCTAGACCACGACTCACACATATTCGGGAGAAGTCTGAGAAAACACTGAAGTTTTTGAACGAATATGGGTTAACACCCAAACGGTTAACATTGTCAAATGGTAATGTTGTGGATATTACCATTTCATATGGCACAAGTAGCTACTCCAAGCTACCAGAAGCTGAGAAGGAGATACTTCGCTCCTTAGTTGTTGTGTTCGACAGGTTTGGAGTGAGTTCTTCAGCGTATCACAAAATTGCTCAATTGTTCCCAACACTTCCACGAACTCATTCAGTTATTAGCATGAAGAATGACATGACATATACTACAGAAGTGAAGCGAGTTCCAGGGAATGTGCCAGAGGCCATGCTAAGCTTCAAGCATGAACTGCAGAAGAAGGTTGCACAGAAGCTAACATGCTATCCTGATCTGAAGCTAGTCACGTTCCAGCTGACAGGCGATGGCACCCAAGTGAGCAGGGTAACAAACTTTCTTGTTGAATCGTTTCAGCTGGTGGGCAGTTAAGAGACAATAGCCTCTTTAACTCTGAGCACATTAGCTATCGTGAACTGTAAAGAAGATTAGGGTGCTCTGAAAGCAAGTCTTCAGCCAATGATGGAAGAGGTAAACAATGTCATAAAGGCGGGATGTATTTCTGTTGGTGAACATTCTGTTGCAATAGATGTTGCTTTTTGTTCTGACATTCAAATGATATTAACCATGTTGGGCTTAGGAAGCACAACAGGACATTATGTATGCCCTTCATGTCTCGTGCTCAAGGATGACAGGCACGACACATCTTTGTCGATGGAATGTTATTCTAAGGGAGAAATGAAAAGGACTCTTCAAACGATCCAGGAACATGCAGACAAAATGATTTATTGTGCCCAGCATTACCCACTGCTGGACATTCCAGTGGATAATTATGTAATGGATGAGCTCCATCTTCTCCTCAGAGTAACAGATGTCCTTGAGAGAAATCTCATCAATGAGGCAATCAGGCTGGACGAGTCCCTGTCGTTGCAAACGAAACCCAAGAGACACCTAGACGGCCTGATACGCTGTATCTGCAGCTGTGGGGTACCGTTCAAGGTACAGGTGGACAAGGACTCCAATATGCTAAATTGGACAACCCTGTCAGGTCGTGACAAGAAAACACTTCTCACTAAACTACCAGGACGACTTGATGGGATCCTTGGTTCGAGATTGAATCTACAGTATGTATGTACACTGTGGACACTGTTTGGCGAATACCGTGACCTCATCACTTGTGACTATGTATGCATATCTGACCATACAGTGTTCGAAATCGCCAAGTCCTGGATCGAGACTTTTCTCTCCTTGGCTCCTCAATCTGGCGGTATCAGAGGGAATATTACCCCTACCATAAACTGCATGGTCTACCACGTTCCTTACATGATTAACAGGTTTGGATCCCTAAGGCCATTCGGCTGCCAAGTTGTGGAGAAAACAAAATGATGAAATAAAACAGATTCACGAGAGAAAATCACGGAAATGGGATGCCACAGTTGACGCCCCAACCATTCGGAAGAGAATGGAAGACAACAGTTATTTTTCTAGAGAAAGCAGCCTTATAGCAGCAGTGCCCTTGAGTATTGATGGAAGAAATAGAGCAAGACAAACCAAAAAGGGCTAAGATCGCGACACAGATACACGGGCACAACATCATCCACAGGTTGACTCCTGAGTTAATGCCTCTGTCAGAGTTACGGGACATGTTAAAATCACATAGTCTTCATTCCAAGTCAAAGAGTAGAAAGGTTGTTGAAAGTTAAAATATATGGTATTTTTTTGAGATATGCTAAATGTGATGCACACATATATATTCATGATTTAGAAAGGACGATTGGACGTTTACGTATATGTACGTGTTTGTTGAATCTCAGCTCTGGATGAAATATATATTTGTATTTTGTTACATCCTAAAAACACACCTGTTTACCTACATACATGTTTCAGGGATTTAAAAATTACAGTGCCAATTTTGCTCTTTGTTATCTATGTACTACAAACACACACACACAAACACACACGCACGAACACACGCACACGCGCATGCACCTATACACAGACACACTGCAAAGAACAGAGGTGTAGATGCTCCTCTTATTTATTGAAAGTTAATCACATGATGAGTGATTTGACCCAATTTTTTAATATACCATATTGATTTACCTTCCCTTGAAAAGGTCTCTAATCATTTTATAATGCTTCATTAATTAACACAAATCATCGCCCTTGAAACGGTCAGAATTCTTGCGTATGGTATATCGTATATGGTACCATACGCAAGAGTTGTGACCGTTTCAAGGGCGGTAATTTGTGTTAATTAATGAAGCATTTATAAAATAATTAGGACGTTTTAAAGGGAGGTAAATCCGTACGGTATATTAAAAAAATTGGGTCAGGTCACTCATGCATGTGATTAACCATAAATCCCTGTAACATGTTTGAAGGTAAATAGGTGTGTTTTGGGCTGTAACAAAAATACAAAAATATATTTCATCCAGAGCTGAAATTCACCAAACACACACCTACACGTAAACGTCCAATGTCTTTTCTAAATCATGAAAATATGTGTGCATCACATTTAGCATATCTCATAAAAATCTACCATATATTTTTAACTTTTTCCAACACAACTTTTTTACTCTTCGACTTGGAATGAAGACCATGTGTTTTTAACATGTCCCGTTACTCTGACAGAGGCATTAGCTCAGGGTCAACCTGTGATGATGGTTGTTCATGTATCGTGTCACGATCTTAGCCCTTTTGGCTTGTCTTGCCTCTACAATTTCTTCCATCCAATACTCAAGGCGCCTTTTGCAGTAAGGCTGCTTTTCTCTAGAGGCAGTTTATGTAGGGGGGTAATATTCCCCCTCTGGTACCCGCCAGATTGAGGAGCCAAGGAGAGAAAAGTCTCGATCCAGGACTTGGCAGTTTCGAACACTGTATGGTCAGATATGCATACATAGTCACAAGTGATGAGGTCATGGTATTCGCCAAACAGTGTCCACAGTGTACATACTGTAGATTCAATCTCGGAACCAAGGATCCCATCAAGTCGTCCTGGTAGTTTAGTGAGAAGTGTTTTCTTGTCATGACCTGACAGGGTTGTCCAATTTAGCATCTTGGAGTCCTTGTCTTCCAATACCTTGGACGGTACCCCACAGCTGCAGATACAGCGTATCAGGCCGTCTAGGTGTCTCTTGGGTTTCGTTTGCAACGACAGGGACTCGTCCAGCCTGATTGCCTCATTGATGAGATTTCTCTCAAGGACATCCGTTACTCTGAGAAGAAGATGGAGCTCATCCATTACATAATTATCCACTGGAATGTCCAGCAGTGGGTAATGCTGGGCGCAATAAATCATTTTGTCTGCATGTTCCTGGATCGTTTGAAGAGTCCTTTTCATTTCTCCCTTAGAATAATATTACCATCGGCAGAGATGTGTCGTGCCTATCATCCTTGAGCACGAGACATGAAGGGCATACATAATGTCCTGTTGCGGTTCCTAAGCCCAACATGGTTAATATCATTTGAATGTCAGAACAAAAAACAACATCTATTGCGATAGAATGTTCACCAACAGAAATACAACCAGCCTTAATGACATTGTTTGTCTCTTCCATCATTGGCTGAAGACTTGCTTTCAGAGCACCGTATTCCTCTTTACAGTTCACGATAGCTAATGTGCTCAAAGTTAAAGAGGCTATTGTCTCCTCAATGCCCACCAGCTGAAACGGTACAACAAGAAAGTTTGTTATCCTGCTCACTTGGGTGCCATCGCCTGTCAGCTGGAACGTGACTAGCTTCAGATCAGGATCGCATTTTAGCTTCTGTGCAACCTTCTTCTCCAGTTCATGCTTGAAGCTTAGCATGGCCTCTGGCACATTCCCTGGAACTCGCTTCACTTCTGTAGTATATGTCATGTCATTCTTCATGCTAATAACTGAATGAGTTCGTGGAAGTGTTGGGAACAGTTGAGCAATTTCGTGAAACGCTGAAGAACTCACTCCAAACCTGCCCAGCACAACATTAAGGAGCGAAGTATCTCCTTCTCAGCTTCTGGTAGCTTGGAGTAGCTACTTGTGCCATATGAAATGGTAATATCCACAACATTACCATTTGACAATGTTAACCGTTTGGGTGTTAACCCAAATTCGTTAACAATCGTCAGTGTTCTCTCAGACTTCTCCCGAAAATGTGTGAGTTGTCGTCTAGACTGTCGCTGGGTAAGACTATCACTATCCACTGGGGTGCTTACAGAGTCTTCAGCTAAGGAGCACCATATTTCCTCACACTGAGCTTCCACTTCCACTCTGTTCGAGTCAAATTATGACTCACGTTCATCATTATTGATTTGTGAGGATTTCACAAACTCCTTTTCAAACACAGCCATGGTGTATATGTCTTTCGCACATTTGATTTTCTGTTTCCCTCCTTTCATTTTCTTCAGTTTGCAGCAAACAATTTCACATTCGGTAGCTAGACTGTTTTCCAGTCTATCATTCTGTTAAATCTTGATATAAGCAACGTGAGAGTTGAGGATGTGAACCATTGTTAAATTGCCATACTGTTCTTTTGCTTTGTATAAGTTTTTAAGGAAGAGATTTGTCATTTGCAAAGACGCTGCAAATTGATCATCTTTCTTAAGGTATTTCAAGTTGATACATCGGCTTGGTTCAGAGAAACAGAGTCCTTGAACTTACTCAACTGTAAGTTACTCAGGTTGTCTGACATTGTGTATATTTCAAGAACTTAAAAGTATTATGAAAATGACAAAGAAACAAACAACTCAACACAGTGAATGTTCAAAACATCGTACATATATCGGAATGATTATTGTTTAACGATGGATCAGGTCCAAGCTGCAAGCTCGTGTGCGAGCCTGAAACACAACTGTCTCCACAGAGATGCTTATCTTGGTGACTCGGCCGTCATGCACAGTGTACTTAGTCGTTTGTCTCAGGCAGGGTTTCGCTATGACCAGAAACACAACACATGTGCCTTCGCCGTGTTTGTCTATGTTATACCACCAGTAGGGTGGAAGACACAGACGTTCTAGCTCTTCTCTACCAAGAAGAGTTTCTCTGTCAGTCCTAATTAAGGCTCTAAACACGTTTAAATGACACGGGACTGAAAACTGTAGGCCCTGAGTCTTCAGTCTTGCCTGAAACGACAGCCCAACGTCACAGGACAAAAGTCTCTCGTTGACTATCTGAGATCTCGTGTTGTTTGTACTAGTGTCGGTTGCTAGCTGGAATGTGCCGATCTGGCTCCCAGGTCGACTGCCACTTGACAAGACATTCTGTACCCTACACAGAGGGGGAAAATATGTATTACCACACACTCCTTATACAAGTACCACAAGACGTTTTCAAATCGACGAGTGGATTCACTTTACTCAAAATAAAAACAACACTACACAGTGCTAACTGATTCCAAAGTATATATTAGATGGATCTGTAATTGCTCTTCTATCTATTTAAAAATCAACCATCTGACAAACAATGAATAAAACGAACTTCAGTCAACCAAATTAAGACAAATACCGCCGTTAATCCCGTTTTTGTGCGGGA